TTTTTGGATTTGACTTAGGTATAAGGTTATTTATGATTTTTTTTCTAGGTTTAATGCATATATGTTAGTTTTTAGTTATGGATTTGTTAGATTTTTTGAGTTTGATACAAATGTTCTAGAATTTATTTTTAGGTTTTTTTTTTCAATTTTTTTTTTCTAGGTTTGATGCAATCTTTTATTTACAAATTCGACGAGGGTGACAATATATCCAATGAAGACAGAGATGGGAGATTGGTGGTGATTTTAAGGTTATCAATCAATTTAATATAGTCAACATTAATTCGAGACAAACTAAGTTCAAATTAAGCTATAACCCAAGAGTGGAGATGCAAAGTGCATATCCGGATAAACTAAAGTAAACTCGGGAGCATGAGGTCCGGAGGTAGTGCACCTGGTGGGATTAGACATCACCTTGGCAGAGTACAAAGGGCGGACCCTTGGTGGCTGTCCTACTCGCTTGTCCACGGGAGGGGACAAGGGGCCACCCTTAATATGGAGTGTAGGTCAGCACCCTAGGCTGAAACCGAATCCATATATAACAAATATAGTTGGTAGTTATTTTCCCATAAAAATGAACCCTTGTGACTATTGGAAATAGTTGTGTTTTTTCTCTACGAAAATAATTAATCTAACTTCCTCCTTCTCTATATTAATAAAGAGGTGTTCGGTTCTACATAGAAACCCATAAAAAATATATTGTTACTGTGCTAAATTTCTACAAGCAACACACACACAGAGAGAGTCATCATCGATTATGTACACATTTTCTCAACTTGTTCTCATCCAAAACAGGTTTATAACATTTAGTTAATACTGTATATGTCATTGATTAAGAAAACCAATGGTTATTGAAATAAAAGTATATTACTATGGTGGTTATAATTTGTAAGTAAACTACTTAAGATCTTGGATATATAGCAAAATGATATAAACAAGACTTATTTTAATGGAAAAAATTAATGGAAGTTATAGAAGAATTAAGGGCAGTGTAGTGTCGAAATTAGTGTATACATAAGTGTTTGTTAATATGCAGCTGTCTAAAACATTAATAAAAACTTGTTAAGAACTCCAAATATCCAAGTAATTACAATAAAACCTGCATGAAGACAAAAGGATAGAAGGGTAATGAAGTAAAATTAATCTTTGATTTGGTTGGGAGTGGAGCTGTGGCACATGGCAGTCATGTGAGGCCTCCAGTCCACATGCAATGAGAGAGTCTTTCCATGTTATTATGATCACTCATAATAATACCAGCGCCACAGCAGGATTAGGTCAAACCTCTCAACCCTTGACTAATTATCCTTTAATTAAAATTCCATAATTATGGATCTACTCTATTTTTGTCGGTCAATTATTTTTGATACTCAGAATACATTTGGCAAAACCAGTTCTTAGTCGGAAGTTAGAAGCTAATTTCAAGTTGGTAACTCAAATTTGGACGTCTGAAGGCGGGAACTAGAAGTTAGTTCTTTTTATTTGTAAATAAGTGAGTTCCTACTAATGAACAATTCTTTGTTTTTTAATTCGACTTTGTAAAGTGATTGACTGTTAGAATTATTAATTTAGAGTTATTGAGTATTTTGTAAATTGTTTTAATATTTTTGTTATATATAGTGATTATGAATAAAGAATGATATGCGAAGATAAGTTTGATTTTAAGTGATTAAAAGATTAGTCACCATTGTCATTAGAAAATTAATCTCAATATACAGTGGCTTTATAATATCATACTATTTGAGAAGATCAACCTCGGATTTTGTTAAACTATATATAACTGTGTGACATTATCATGGCAATAATTTTGCTTATTATTATATAAATATTACCGTGGTAATAATTTAGCTTCTCAATATATTAAAGTTAGTTAATTGCGGGAAATCGCTAGAAAAGTCCTAAAATTTTACCATAATTTACGAAAAAGTTTCAAACTAAAATTTGTTTACGAAAAAGCATGAATTACTGGTAAAAATGGCGATTTGACCATATTTTTCCGGTTTACCGCTT